TAAGCGGCACACCCATTCAATCCAGCAATCATGGAATCTATGATCTGCTGAAAGATGCCTGGAGCAGATTTAACTCCGAATGGTAGACGATTGTAGGCAAATAGTCCTCGGTGGGTGTTGATCGTCAGAAGTTCTTTTGAGGCATCGTCGACTTCCACTTGCAAGTAGGCATCGGCAAAGTCGATCTGCGTGAATACTGTTCCACCATTAAGTCTAGTGACGTGCTTATGCTGCACCAACAGCCACTGCCCTCAGGTGTGGGCAGTGGGTGTTGGTGCAGCATAAGCGCGTCGTTTAGGCCAGTGGAATAGTCGGCACATAGGCGAATAGTTCCGTTTGCCTTCTTCACTACGACGATAGGTGCTGCCCATTTGGAGTAGGTGACAGGGGAGAGCACGTCTTCTGCAAGTAGACGGTCAATTTCCTTGTCAAGTGCTTCAACGTTGGCATATGGTACCGGGCGTTTCCTCTTGAATACAGGTACGGCGTCTGGTTTCAGTTTCAGAGTTGCTTTTCGCCGTCGTGCATCGTCCGAGACCAGGTTCAAATACATTTGCGAATTTCTTCTTCAGGTTGGCAACTAGGGCGTCTCTGAAGGCAATTTCGCGGTCCACGATGATTGTTTGATGGATTTGATACTTTCTGACTGCTCTGTAAAGGTCTGGAAGTTGTTTGATCCACGGCATTCCAAAAACGTTGCAGTCGTCTTCGGTGACGAAGCATGTTCCACGTCCAGGGAATAGTTTCCAGATGAGTTGCTTGACCGTGAAGTCGGTCTCGAAGCATCCACGGAACTTCAGAGGGGATCCGTTTGCTGTGTATCCAACAACATCTGTTTTCTGCAAGTTGGGCATTCCGACCAGTTTCCATTTGGCTTCAGAGATAATGGTGAGGTCAGCGCCGGTATCAAGTAGAAGTTGCGTCGGATAACCATTTATGTTTACATCTAGCTGCGGGTGGTTGTCCCTTTTGAGAGCGGCTATGACATTTTCAATCTTACGTTTCCGGCGATGGTGGGCGGTCGTTCCACGTTGTGATCTCGACTCCTTCCGGCTAGATTGGTAAGGGAACGCACCTTTCCGATATTTCTGCTGTTTCAGCTGCTTGAACTTCTTCTTTCGGAAGTTTCTTCTGTGACGGATAAGGTTGACAGCTGGCTCACCTTCAAGCATACGAGAATCCTCCTTGTATGACTTGATCAGCTGACACTCCGCTGTGAGGTCCTTCAGTGTGACCTTCTCGGATTGGTCCAGCTTCCTCAGCAGGCGTGTACGGTATTCCGCAAAGTCTGGTCCTTGGAATCCAGCGACGTAGAATAGACATTGTATGCCGTCAAAGTCGATGGTATCCAGCTTGGCCTCCGTACACTTCGTCTTCACCAGGAGCTCGTAGTTGTTGAACTCTTGGCCTTCATACCTCATCTTGAAGCATTCGAAACGGCGACGGAATAGTGTCTTAGCCGATCCGAATTGACGTTCCAGGATTTCCAGGACTTCGCTCCATGACAGTTCCGACGGCTGTTTGGGCGAAATGGCTGCGGTCAGCATTCGATGACAGTCTTCGTCCAGGCGCGAAACAAGAAGTCGCGTTCTGTCCTTTTCGTCGAGGTCGTTGCACTCGTTTTCGAACAGGTCCTGATACCGCTTGAACCAGATGTCGAACGTGCGGTCTCTGTCGGGATCGTAGTTGAAGGGCTCGACCAGTGTAGGATGTTGATCA